CCCCCGCCCTCCCGCGCAGCCCCTCAACCGCCCTTTCTGGGTTGCAGGTGACCGCCAACAACGTCTCCCGGGTGGTCTCCTTGCCCTACAGCCAGGAGCTGCCGTGCCTGTGCCTGGAGGTGTGGCCTGTACTTGGGGCAGGTTGGGGAACACAGGGGTGGGCGGGCTGCGCTGACCCCAACCCCTCCCACAGGGCTGGTCTGCGACCCCTGACGCGGTGCGGATTCAGATCTGCCCCTTTGAAAACGGCAAGTGTCCTGCGATGCCAAGGGGCGGGAGGGTGGGAATGGCTGCGGCCAGGCTGATCCCACCATGAGGACTGACGTGGGGGGATGAGATAAGGGGCAGGCCCAGCCTAAATCCCTGGGCCTGTCACCAAGGGAACCTGTGCACAGATGTGCATGTGCACGTGTGTGTGTGTGTGTGTGTGTGTGTGCTCACGTGGCCCAGCTCACCTGGGAAAATCAAGGCTGTCAAGAGGGGCTGTCTGAGGGGCACAAGAGAGATGCCCAGGCCGTGCGCGGTGGCTCACGCCTGTAATCCCAGCACTTTGGGAGGCTGAGGCGGGCGGATCACGAGGTCAGGATATCAAGACCATCCTGGCTAACACGATGAAACCCCGTCTCTACTAAAAATACAAAAAATTAGCCGGGCGTAGTGGGGGGCGCCTGTAGTCCCAGCTACTCTGGAGGCTGAGGCAGGAGAATGGCGTGAACCAGGGAGGTGGAGCTTGCAAGTGAGCTGAGATCGCGCCACTGCACTCCAGCCTGGGGGACAGAGTGAGACTCCGTCTGAAAAAAAGAGAGATGCCCTGCTCTCGGTTCTGCTCAGCGACATTGCACACACACATGCACATGTACCCATGCACATGCACGCCCATACACATGCACACACGCACACGCACACCCATGCACAGGCAGGCACACCCATGCATATACACACCCACACCATGACACGCACCCATGCACATACACACCCATACGTGTGCACACACATACACACGAATACACCCATGCACAGGCAGGCACACACACCCATGCCCATGGACACGCACCCATGCACAGGCACACACATAGGCGCACACACCCATGCACACACATGCACAGACTTGGGACAGGGCTCAGCAACCCATAGGAGGACTGCTCTGGACCCTGGCCCAGTGGTCACTTGAGTGGGTGCTAGACCCCATGGGCCTGGCAGCAAGAGTAGGGGCCAACTGACCTGTGTTTGGGGGAGGGTTCCTGCAGACACTGAGGCACTGGAGATGCTGTGGGACACGGTCTACTACCACCCAGGGAGCCAGACACTGAGCTGGGAGCCCACCTGCCCTGTGAGTGGCCATGTGAGCCTGTGCTGGCGCCCGGGGCCAGGGGCCGGCTGTCGTAAGCTGCAGCGATCCAGCCAGCTGGTGCATCGCAGAGTGAGTGCCTGCTGGGCAGGGATGGGGGTGGGCATGGATGCCACAGACTGACCCCAGCCCTCCTCAGGTGCAGTACCCACTGGTGGACACCCAACCCCAGCTCTGCCTGAAGGTGAGGGGCTGCCACAGCCTGCCAGTGCCCTATTTGGGGAGGGGCCAGGGGGCATCAGGACAGGAAGTGGGGCAGGGGCCCTTGCCCGGCCCTGGAGCCCACCCTCCCAGCCGTCCCTCAGAGCCCCCTTCTGGTCTGACAGTGGGTGAGCTAAGGGCCTAAGGAGGGGATCTGGGCCAGAGCACCCTGAAGCTGACCCAGCCTGTCTCTGTCCCTGCCCTGTCCCTGCCCTGCACACACTCCACCCTCCTGCACCCCTCACCCCACTTTGCAGTTCTCCACCAGTTGGGGGTCCTGGGTGCGGTGCCCTTTTGAACAGCGTCGCTTCCCAAGTAAGTTCTCCATGGGGCCTGCACAGCGCGGACGCAGCACGGAACATCCTTTATGCCACTCTGTGTTGGTCGGGGAGGTGGGATAACGGTGCTGGGCCAGTGAGGGACCAGGTGGGTTGGGGGAGGTACAGTGGGTAGGCACTGGGCCCTCTGGGGAAGGAAGGGAGGCAGTGGGGTGCTGGGCCAGACGGGAGTCTCACCCTTCACTCTCCACAGCCTGGAAAATGACCATCCAGCCTTCGCCCATGAAGGGCCACCTCCGGGCCACCTTCTTCTCGTCCAGCCCCGCCCACTTCCAGGTGCACCTGTGTCACAGGAGGAAGTCACAGCTCCCTGCCTGCCAACCCGCACTCCAGGCCAGCCCGCTCCCTCCAGCCTCAGTGAGCCGAGAGAGGGGCTCCATCCTGGGGAAGTGTGGGGGGGGACAGCAGGACCCCATCACTTCCCTGTAGTGGTCTCTGCCCTACCTGGGCCCTGAGCCCACCCAGGGTCTAGCCTACCTGGCAGGGAGGGGTAGGGGGCCAGCCCTGCTTTGTGCTGAGAGGATGTGGGAGAAGGACAGGGTTTAGCCTGATCTGCCCTTCCTCCCACTGCCTGTGACCTGCCCTCCCCCATCCCAGGGTGACTCCGCAGCCGCCCCTGCCTTTGCCTTCCTGGACCTTCCCAGGGAGGAGGCCTGTGCCCCAGGCATCTGCATCCAGGTGGGTGTTGCTGCTGTGCCCAGCCCCTACCCATCTCCTCCACTGCAGGACCTCAGTTCACACCCCCCACTTCCCATCCCCATCCTCGGGGGAAGCAGGAGGCCGTGTTGATGGAGCTCAGTTCACACCCCCCCTTCCCATCATCCTCGGGGGAAGCAGGAGGCCGTGTTGACGTAGCTGCCTTGTGCCTGCAGGGCTGGAGGACCGATGTACACTTCTCCGTCCCCCAGCAGCTCTGCAACCTCCGCTCCAGCGGGTGCCCAGCTCTCAGGGGCCACAGGAGGCTAAGGACTAGACCCAGGCACTCCCGGCCTCCTACAGTGGGCTGGGTATGGCGTGCACTGAACAGAAGACTGGGTGGGGGAGACGGTGAGACCACCCAGCCCTGAGACAGGTCAGGCTTCCGTGCCAAACCCAGGCCTGTGCCCACCACTGCCCTCCAGCCTCGCAGTTCCCTCCACCACATACCGCTGGGCCTGCCGCACACCCTCCCTGGTCTCACTCTGTCACTGGCCTTGCCTCCTCCTCCCTGGGGGTCCACCTTCCCTGATCGGAGCTCTGGTTCCAACCACCAGTGACTTGGGATGTCCCTTTGCCAACGAGCCACTGAGGCCCAGGCTCCCAGGACTCAGGGTACATCAGGACAGGACTCTGCCCAGTGGACAGAACTAAGCACGTGTGTCCGGGTGTGGTCAGGAGCGTGGCTCTGCCTTGGAGTCCAGGAAGGGTCAGAGCTGGCACTCCCACCTGCACCCTCCCTGTGAGCTCAAGAGCTTGCCTAGCTTCAGGTGGGGTGAATCGCAAGAGCCACAGAGGTGGGAGGGGTGGGAGGGGGTGGACAGGACAGCCAGGCACCCAGGGCCTCTGGAGAACCTTTCCAGGGAGCACCAGTGGGCCAGGCAGGGGTCTCTGGAATGTCTCCTCAGCTCAGCCGAGCCACAGCCATTTCAGGGCAGCCTCTGGCCTGCTGCCCACAGGACATGCCCAGGGCCATGGCAGGACCCGCAGACCTTCAGTTTCCCCTTCTCCCAGCAATACTTTTTGGCCAAGCCTGGGTCCCCCTCCCCAGCAAAGGTCACCTCCAGCAGCTCACAGATGAAAGGGGTAAAGGACACCTGCTGGTCAGGTGTCCCTGGGGCTGGCACCTGCCACTGTGGAGTGCCCATGCTATGCTGGGCAAGTCCACAGCCCTAGGGACAGGCCTGGAGGCAGCAGGAGGACTGGGCCTGGCTCAGGTGGGGGGATCTGGGGGTAACACACACTGCTTTTGGGGCCAGGGTGGGCTCCTCCTTCACTTGTCTGCTGAGCCTCCCTGGAGACAGGAGGCTGCTGTCCACAGCCACTGACCCCCAGGACTGGGCAGCCCCCTCCCCTTCCCTCACATTGTCTCAGCCTCGCACAGTGGGGGCAGGGCTGGGAGGGGGTGCCCCAGCCAGTACCACCTCCACATCTCTCTCCAGTTGCACCCACCCCCATGGGATGGCAGCCTGAGGCCAGGAATCTCCTCAAGAACAAGTAGGTGCCAGGGACACATTGCTGGGGGGCAGGAGGCCAAGGCACAGCCTCGGACAGCTGAGCCAGGCCCCCCTCAGAGTGTGGGGTGGTTTCACCTGACTGTGGGGCCCAGGCACCCGCTGGCTGTCCTAGGGCTATAGCTCCATGGGGCCCTCAGGGGCTCTGGGTCACAAAAAAGACCTTCAACCCTGTCCTGAGTCCCCTGGGAATAGCAGGAGCCAGGTGGGCCACCCCTTCCCTGAATGGCCCAGGTGCTGGACCCCAGCCTCCCTCTCAGATAATTCATGGTCATGGCCACTGTCCCTGGCCCTGAAGACAAGGCCCTGGCAGCTGCCCAGAGCTTCCCCAGTGCTCTGGAGTGCAGGGTGCAACCCCACCCTTCCTGTAGCTGACCAAGCCCGAGGTGGTCAAGGATCACCTGTTTCTGCCCGGGGCACCCCACACTGGCTGGAGTCCACCTCCCCTATCTGTGCATCCTTGGGTGCTGAGCTTCACTGGGGCATCCGCCCCACTTGGACCCCTCCAGAGGGTCTCAGCTTCCCTAGATCCCAGCCCCACTCACCCAGCAAGGGTCAGTCACTTCCTGTGGTCTCAGAGGCCACGTGCCTGGGGGCCACCTGCTGGGATGTGTGGTTCTGAGACGTTCCAAGTGGCACATCCAGACCCCAGCCAGGGGTCCCTAGCAGTGGCCTGTGCAGTGGGCCGTGGGGTTGGCCCTCGAAGACCTCTTGTGTGGGTCACGTAGGCTCCCTGGCTTCCCCGCTGAGCTGCCCTCTGGAGCCTGGACGTCTCACCTGAGTGCTGTGCAGGGCTGCATGCCCGGCCTGTCCTGGCGGTGGTCGCACCCCATCTGCAGATGCACTCCCACCGCAGTCTGGGCCCAGGCTGCCGTCTTCCAGCCTGCCATGGGCCCTGGGCCTTCTTTCCCTTCTTGCAATGGAGGCTGCTCTGCCCCACAGACTGGAGAGGGGACTGCAGAGCGAGCAAGTCCCCTCCACTCAGTAAACGCTGGTCCAGGGGTAGCTGTTAGAATGGAGCTTGGGCCTGGCTGGATGGTGACGGCATCAGGGACAAGTCTGGACTGTGGGCGTCGTGGAGCCATCCCCATGAGGCTGGACCCGAGAGTACCCCAAAGGCGTGGGAGGCCACACCCCATTGGGCATGTCGGAGGCAGGGAGCACCTTGGGACTCAGGGGAGGGGCAGGGTCTCTGGGAGTGGATTTGGGGTCAGCTAAGGTCAGTGTCACATGGTGTGACCAGACATCCTCATCCAAGTGTCCCCATAAAGGAGCAGTGGTGGGGACACCCTGGGGATGCAGAGGTCAGGCCAGGTCAGGGGCTTGAGAAGCTGGGTTTGGGCACAAGGGGCAGGGAGGCCAGTGGGGGCATGGAGAGGGTGTCCCTCCCTAACCTGGACATCGGGGGCGTGGGGGGATGCAGGTTGCCACTTGCCCAGGTGCCCCTCCCTAACGTGGAGGAGGTAAGGGGCACAGTGGGGGCGGGGGGGCTCAGCACAGGCTGCCACTTTGCTCTCTCCGTGTCTCCTCTGGATACCCCTGTCCACCCCCAGCCAGAAGACCAGTGTCCCAGCTCAGCAGGGCAGCCCCCACCCGAGGTTCCTGCTCCTACCTCCTGGACCACCCAGGGGTGCTCCCTGTGGTACACAAAGACCCCTGCTCTGACCCGGGGCTACTCCGGGAATCCTGGCCAGTGTGGAGGTGGAGCTAGGGAGGATTTGCCAGAGCAGGGTCACGGAGCTGAGCTCCTGCCTGACCGGGTGTGGGTTCCCTCAAGCCTTCCACAGATGGGGGAAACTGAGTCTTCTGGGACTCTTAAGAGGCTGTGTTCAGATCTCAGCTGTCCTACTGTCCCTCCCAGACAAGGGAGGCACCTGCTGGAGGATACACGCATGCTGCCACCAGGTGGCAGTGGCTCTCAGTGCCGGTGCTGAGCCGGGTCAGGCGCCCCAGCACCCAACACGGAGCGCCCACAGCCCAGTGCACTCACCGCCTCCTCGGCCAGGGTCGCTGCCCTCCCTCCACCACCACCGCCGGAAACCCACCCCCACACCTGCCAGGAGAAAAGTGCTGAGCACCCCGGGCCCCAGAAATGGGGGGTGCAGTAGGGGCGGGCAGGAGCAGCTACACGAGGCTGCACAGCCCTGCTCACATCTGGGCCACAGTGTTAACACGGGTGAGCCTTGGACACCCGCCTTCCTCATTCACTCATCATGCACAGCTGAGCAGGCCCGGGACCCTGGGCACCGACCCAGCACTGGGAACAAACAACATTGGCAAAGATCCTGGGCCCTGCAGCTGGGGGACCAAGTCTGGGGCTGCCTGGCACTAAGGAGGGTCTTGGGTCAGAATGTCAGTGCTGACACCAGGACAGTCCCGGGCAAACTGGGATCATGGAGCTGACCTTTGCATGGGAGAGACAACCAGAGCCAGGTAGCATACGTAAGCGAGGGGACGTGGCTGGTGCCAGTGTGGGGTAAAGAATGAGGCTGGGAGAGCGATTGGGAGTGTGGGGAGCTGCAATCTAAAATAGGGTGGGGCTGGGCATGGTGACTCCTGCCTGTAATCTCAGCACTTTGGGAAACTGAGGCAGGTGGATCACTTGAGGTCAGGAGTTTGAGACCGGCCTGGCCAACATGGGGAAACCCCATCTCTACTAAAAATACAAAAATTAACCAGGCATTGTGGTGGGTGCCTGTAATCCCAGCTACTCAGGAGACTGAGGCAGGAGAATCGCTTGAACCCGGAAGGCAGAGGTTGCAGTGAGCTGAAATCACACCATTGCACTCCAGCCTGGGCGACTGAATGAGACTCCACCTCAAAAATAATAAACTAAAAATTAAAATGAAATAAAATAGGGTGAGGCCAGGCACAGTGTTGCACACTTGTAATCCCAGCACTTTGGGAGGCCAAGGCAGGAGGATTGTTTGAGCCTGGGAGATTGAGGTTGCAGTGAGCCATGATTGCACCACTGCACTCCAGCCTGGGTGACAGAGCAAGACACTATTTCAATAGATAAATAAAATATAAAATTTCAAAAATAGGGTGGTCCCTGGGAGGCTCAGACAAGGTAAAGTGTGAACAGAGACTGCAGAGGCAGGGCCTTTGTGTTGCCCGGCTCTAACAGGTCCCTGACTGCCTTGCGGAAGAGCAGCGAGAGTGAGCTTGTGGAGGGCAGGCAGGTGGGGAGAAGTGCAGACGCCGAGGCCATCGGGGTGTCCTGGCACATAGGTGTGAATAAAAGAGACCAACGTTTTGGCCTCAGCTCCTGAGGCCAAATTTGTGTGCACAAATTTGTGGAAAAATTCTTTGTAGACAAAGGATAGAAAAAGTCATCCATCTGCTCACTGAAATAAATGCATATCTGATTTCTTCCTTTGGAAAGGCTAATCAGAAACTCAAAAACATGCAACTGTTTGTCACTTATCTATCCATGACTCAGAAGCCCCCTCCCCAATTTGAGCTGTCCCACTTTTCCAGACAGAACCAATGTACGTTACATATATTGATGTCTCATGCCTCCTTAAAATGTATAAAACCAAGCTGTGCCCAGACCACCTTGGGCACGTGGCATCAGGACCTAATGAGGCTGTGTCACGGGCTCACGTCCTCAACCTTGGCAGAATAAACTTCCTGAATTGACCACACTTGTCTCAGATATTTGGGGGTCACAGATACATCTTTATATATTTTATGTCCATTAACACAGATTTATAATTACTGTTTTATGAATTGGTCTTTCAAATCATATAGAAAAAAACAGGAGTTACAAACCAAAACTATCATAATCCTTGATTTTATATTTTCTCGTGTAGTTTACTTATACTACTGCCTTCTGGTCTCCAAGGCTTCTGATGAGAAATCTGCTAAAAATCTTATTGAGGCTCCTTTGTACGAGACCAGTTGCTTCTCTCTCGCTGCTTTCTTTGTCTTTGTTTTTTTCTGACAGTTTGACAACAGTGTTTCTCACTGTGGATCTCTGAGTTTATCCGGTTTGCAGTTTGTTGAGATTCTGGGATATGTAGATTCATTTATTTCATCAAATTTGGGGAGTTTGGGGATACTATTCCTTCAAATAATTTTTCTTCCCTTTTTTATTTCTCTTCTCCTTTCGGGACTCCCGTGATGTGTATGTTGGTACACTTGATGGTGTCCCAGGTCCCTTGGGTTATTCCATTTTTCTGCATCATTTTTCTTTCTGCTCTTCAGAGTGGATAATTCCAATCACCTTGTCTTCAGGTTCCATGATCCTTTCTTCTATGTGCACAAATCTGACATTGAACCCCTTGAGTGAACTCTTCACGTCTTTCTTTTCGTTTTTGAGACAGTCTCACTATGTTGCCCAGGCTGCAGTGCAGTGGCATGAATGTGACTCACTGCAGCCTTGGCTTCCTGGGCTCAAGCAATCGTCCCACCTCAGCTTCCCAAGTAGCTGGGACTATAGGCATGCACCACCACACCTGGCTAATTAAGAAAAATACTTTTTTTGTAAAGACAAGGTCTCACTATGTTGCCCAGGCTGGTCTTGAACTCCTGGGGTCAGCATCCCAAAGTGCTGGCATTACAGGTGTGAGCCACCATGCCCAGCTGAATTCTTCGTTTCTGCTATTTTGTTTTTCAGCTCTATATTGTCCACTTGGTTCCCTTTTATAATTTATGTATCTTATTGAGATTGCCTCATTTCATGCCTTATTCTTCTGATTTTCTTTAGCTCCATGTCCATATTTCCCTTTAGCCTATTGAATATAAATACACACACACACACACACACACACACACACACA